CTTACGTAATTGGAAAAAAGGCAGAAATGCCCGAAAAACGTCCAACAATTACAAAATATTTTATTTTCTTAATAAAAAACGTTCTTTTCATATTTTAATATTATCTCGCTTATTGTTAGAGATGGACCCAACAAACCATATATGACTGTGCTCGACAGGGAACGTTCTATCCAAATGTGTAAAAATATACAGGGTGTTCCATTTAAATTAACAAAGTTAACATCCGCGGCCATTTTGTTTGAACTTCATTTGTTTTTCTACTATCATATTCGAACATTTCATAAAAAATCGTACAACTTTTGTATTTCACATTTTTTTATAACTCTTAAAACAAAAGTTAAAGGGGGTTCAAAATATAGTGAATCACCCTGTACCTAAAAATATAACAAAAGCCAATGTACAATGATTAACTTTGTCAAAAAAACATTGGAGCATGTCGATTTTGCTTTAGTTCTTTTTTCTTTATATTTGGGTACATTGATTTTCTATAAAGTAGGTACTTAACAGGTGCATCTTACATTTTTGTATCACGAATAATCATGGAGCGCCGCATTTTTTAAAACTGAAATGTTATTTAAAATGCATTGTATTGAACGTCTCAGTTTCTCCGTTTTATTTTATGATTAATTTCCAAACCATGAAAATTTGTTTACTGTAGATAAATGGAACATAATGGATTAGGTACGATAAATTATGTGAATGTATATATTTTTTATTCTGTAGGTATCATATGAACTAAAGAGTTTAATGAGATATTTGAGATTTTCCAAAATTTTTCAGCGATGCCACTATAAAATTATCCATAAACTTTAAAGTTTAAAACCAATTATTCTTGATTCTAGAGTGATCTTCATTAAAAATTAAAATCCTTAATCGAACTACTACACATGCTCTGGTTGACCTGTCAGATTGCCCACACAAGCACAGCAGTGGACTATAAAATATTTCCAACTGAAACTGCATATGATCCTTTAAAAAATTGAACTTTATTTGTATCTTAAACGTTTTAGGTTGGAAACTTTTTATCTACATCAGTACACATGTTCAAGTATATTATATACCTACTTGGATTGCACTCATACGCTCTAGTATAGAAGCGTAAATTGATAAACCTGTATAGGTGCACTGGTGCAGTCAAACCTGAAGGGTCTCGGAACAATATAACCAGTACTATTTCTACTACAAATAAACTCGTCCCTATTTACTAAACTACTAAACTACTAAAAATACTATAAATCAATTTATATCCAATTATTATTTGTTAAATTCTAAACATGAAATTGCCTAGTAATTATTTAAACTAATTGAGTTCAAAAGTAATTGAAGTGATCAGATAAAAACATTTAACATTATTTTTTTCAGATATTGACAGCTGCGTTATTGTTTCTGTTGGTGGTAGCAGAACATCTGCACCAAGTTTATGTGGTGAACATGGTCATTGTATTAACCAACCAGGAATCGGATACAAATGCCAATGTCAGCCTGGATACACGGGAAATTATTGTCATGAAAGTAAGAAATAATGCATTACGTTTTTTCTCTAATTTCTTGCTATTATATTATAATAGTTCTTTGGGATAAAAAGTTAATTGTAACGTACTTTGAACAATACTTACTAAGTGTAATGGGGTAAATTAGAATTCTTTTCAATTCAATATAAACATTTATTTTTTCCTTCCCACTAGTTTTCGCTATTACGCCATCATTAGGGAGAAAAATGACAATCATTGAAAAATTGACTATCTTTATAAAATTACTAATACATAATTTTTGTGTAATAATGAAAATGTCAGTAAATTTTCACTTATCGTGGGCAAATTGTATACAAATAAATTTGTTAGGATGACTTGAAAAGAAACTCACTGATATATTCATTTTTAAACAAAAATTATGTTATTTATTAGCAGTTTTATACAGCCATTGTTTTTTCTAATGACTGTCATTCTTGTTACGCCAGAAATAATATAAAATACCTACATACAGTCCGTACGATATTTGTTAAGATAGAATTCCAAGAAAAGAATAAACCAATAATGTTCTGTAACAAATTTCCACAGCAGGGGTGTACCTTAAAACTTTCCGCGTTATTTTAAAATAATTAGTCTTTTATTTTTCACCTCCATTGATTTATTTTAATAAGAAATTGCACTGAAAATGCACAGGATGATATACTTACCAAGAAACACGCCTTCATAACTGCAAAACAGTATGCACTTGAAGCTGCTACAGTGAACGCCACACCGCCAATGTCTTTCTACCTCGGGTGTCGAATATGGTTAACTGACGCAGCGGTCTTCTTGGAGTTCTATCTCAACAAATATCATACAAACTGTATTTATACTGAATTAAAAAAGGCTCTAATTTACGCCACATTGCCATTCAGTACTACAATGTCAAGTACTTACTAATGATTACGAAAAAAATCATTTTAAAAAATTGTTTATACTTTAAGTATTTACTCTAAATTATGTAGCGATGATGTGAGTTTACATACATACAAAATTTTTTGTTCAGACCATAGATGTATATAATAATTTATTAATTTCTTGGTTACTACATAATCATTTTAAATAACCATAAATAATATTATTTTCGAGTAATTTTTGACAAACATAATGAAAATCAGAATTTGAGTATTAAACAAATTTAGATTTATTTAATACTCACAAACACATGTTAATTTTTTCATAATCAAGTATTTCGTTCTTGTAGATATCAATGACTGTAAAGTAAATCCATGCGAAAATGGGGGCACATGTGTTGACAAGGTCAATGCTTTTCAATGCATTTGTATTGAAGGATGGGAAGGTGCTTTATGTAGTATAAGTAAGTTATTATTATAATCTTTAATGAAACCACTTTCTAATAGCTATTGTAATAGATACTGATGATTGTTCACCAAATCCATGTCGAAATAATGGTACTTGCATTGATGGAGTAGCAGATTTTGAATGTGAATGCAAGAATGGTTGGAAGGGAAAAACTTGTTCATTAAAAGATAGCCATTGCGATCATACTACTTGTAAAAATGGAGGCACTTGTCAGGATTTAGGAAATACGTTTATTTGTAGATGTCCTCCAGATTGGGAAGGTAAATTTTAATTTTATTAAATACGTAATAAAATATAACATTTTATTTTGCTTCAGGTACAACTTGCCATATAGCAAAGCAAACAGCTTGTCGATCAAACCCTTGTCTCAATGGTGGTACTTGTGTGAATACAGGTGATTATTACCAATGCATATGTCGTGATGGTTTTGAAGGAAATCATTGTCAAGATGATGTAAATGACTGTAGTCCCCAACCTTGCTACAATGGGGGAAAATGTATCGATGGAGTAAATTGGTTTCTTTGTGAATGTGCTTTAGGTTTTACTGGACCAGACTGTAGAATTAATGTAAATGAATGTGCGTCAAATCCTTGTGGTTATGGGGGGACATGTATAGATGATATTGGAGATTTTAAATGCATTTGTCCACCTGGCAGAAAAGGAAAAAGGTGCAATAGTAAGTTCATTATATTTACTGTTAGAAACGTTAAATGTTAATAATTTTTTCTTTTTAGTTGACGATTTAACCTATTTACCATCTCCTGGAAGTTGCAGTTGGAATGGCCATACCTTAGAGAGTAATGTTACTTGGCAACATGAATGTAATACATGTATGTGTAACAATGGCATAGTAAAATGTACAAAAATATGGTGCGGGCTTGGAAATTGTCGAACATCAAATCAACAAAATGCCATGTGTACACTATCTCAAGTTTGTGTACCCTCTTCTTCAGAAACTTGCCTTTCACCTCCTTGTTTACCTTATGGAGAATGTAGAGATTTGGAAAGTGGTAGAAGAGTTAAACCACCTTCTTTGCCAACGCCAAGTACCTGCTGGCCAAATCAAGCTATTCTAAGTAATACTTGTGCCAGATTGACACTCTTGCTTGACAGGGTCAAGCTACCTCATGGTATAACAGTTGAAGGCCTTTGTGGAGACCTCAGAAGGTTACTTGCCAATCAACAAGCTGTAGTGGGATTACAAGATGAACTCGTTCTCCTTTGTGATCTAAAAACCAATTATAATGACACAATAGAAGTCACTCTGGTAAGTTATAGTTTCAATAAAGCTACTCCTAATAATTTTTACAAATTCACTATGTTTCACGATTTTTTTTTATTCCAGTCTGGAAATCGCTGGGTTTTAGATGGAATCCGTGTTGTAGGAGAAGCAATTTCAAGGAAACAAACATCACTTTTGGCTCTTACATCTATTGTAGAAGTCAAAGTCGAAACAGCCTTAATATCTGAAGAGCAGCAAAACAATAAATATTTGATAGCATTAGTATGCTTTATAATCATAGGCCTATGTGCAGCTGCATTTGCTGCTCTCCTCTATATCAGGCAGCGAAGAAGAAATCTTGGTCTTAGTGGAGTAAACTTATCACCATCTACTGATTCTTGCCATAGAAATCATGAGGATGAAAAGTCCAACAATTTACAAAATGAGGAAAACCTTAGAAGATACGCTAATCCCTTAAAAGATGATGTAGGAAGCTTGGCTAGTATAAATTCTGCAGGAGCATGTGGACTAGATATGCCTAGGGTAAGTGTAGTTCGACCACTATCAACTATGATTCCACATGAAGGTTCTAGTGAAATGTTGGAGATGATATCAGAGGTAGACTGCCCTGGTTCGAGGAAAACGATGTTAGTTTTACCTGGTACCAGTGCTACTGACAATAACACTCTTAAATTAAATGAAGGTGTTAAAATTAGTGAAAATATCAAATTAGGAGATGGCCTCAGTACTGCACACCGAAGCAGCCAAATAATGCTTTATAAAGCTCAAAATCCAGATGTACGAAAAAATACAGCTGCATTTGATGACTCTTCAGGACACAAAGACTTTAGCAAAAATATTATTAATATAAATAAACAAAGAACTTCGCAACAGAACACCAGTGCAAGTGCAGACGTGCTTACAGTTCTTGTTTGAGGGCCAGTGTAATATAATCAAATTATTGGGGTTCTGTAGAACTATAATTACTTTAAATAAATATCTTCTTAGACATAGTACATACAAAATATTTTGTGGTTTTATGGCAGTCTAATTTTTTTTTTTTACTTTTTTGTGCAATTTTAGTTTTAGTTATATTTTTTTTATTTAACTGTCAGCTAACTTTCAAAATATTTTGTATATCTGCTGATATCTTAATATTTGCTATCTACGCAAGAATCACATGAAGGCTGAAATATTTTTATTGGGTTTGCTGGAACAATTTTAAAGGAAATTGAATAAGAACTAAAATAGTTTTCATTATAAATTCTAGACACAAATTTATGAACTTTAAAATTGTAATTTTGCACTATATTGACTTTAAAACAATAGTTTTTATAGTATGTACATACTATAAGAGCATGTACATATTATTACTTGAGAACCCCAAACCTATTTTATAAAAGAAACTTTAAATGAACTTAAATGAAGTGATATGTGGAGAATGATCTCGTGATGCTAAAACACCTAGTGACACAAACGAATAAGTTTAATTAATAGTGTGATATTATTTAATATTTTGATTTGTTTTTATTAATATAACTTGTTAGAATTTTTAAAATTATTTTTATTTAAATTTAGTAATTCTGTAATTCAGAGTAAATGTGTACATAGGATTTGTTTTTTTTTTGTATTTATTGTATTATTGTTCCTGAGTTTTTTTACATTTTAATTATTAATTTTACTTTAGTATTGATTTTTTTATACTTTCATCTTTATAAATATCTGTGAATTGTCTAGTTTAATAATTTATTAATAGATTTTCATTCCATAGCTTCTATTTTTTAGGAAAAAATGCCTTAAGCTAAATATTATATTGTAATACATATTGTTGTAAATATGTAAATATTTGTTTTTCAGTATTGTACTCATAAAAATGTTTTCAAAAATTTAAATTTAAGACACTGCAAGAGAAAATAAATTTTTGAAAACATGTAGGATTTAATTACAGTACTTAGGTATGCATAATTACAGTTTTAAAATAGTGCCTTGAATGTGCCTGTTCTTTAATGGACAAAATAATCAGTTGTAAGAAAAACAACTACAAACTGCACCTTTAGAACTCTGTATAACAAGTATTAAATAGATATTAGACTTATATGTATATTTTGTAAAATAATTTGCATTTAATTTTTGCAAGATGCAAACAGCTTATGTAATTAAAGATAAAGCTTGTCATAAAAAATAAATCATCCAATAAATACTAAATGTTTTTATTATTCTACCTTTATATTGGCATATAAAATTAATGAAAAAAAATAAAGGGACACTTAGGGAAATAGTATAGACAAGTGGCGGAGAAAGAAAGGTATTTTTGCCAAATCGAAAGGCCCTATGCTCTAATTGAGATCTTCTAATCTTGTTGAAATATAGTTATTTTTTCAGTACCATAAAAATTGCTTCATTTTTAAATAATTGTAATCTGCATTAAATTAGAATATGTTTAACATATGAATCAAACTGATATCTGCTCATTTGATATAAAAATTCATTATTTTTTGTTGGAGCTCTTTTACCTGTTCATACTTCTGACATTTATCACTCGTCAATCAGGGTTGGTCATCAAAAATTTTCTAACTACGTAATATTTATGGATTTTCTAACCATTTTAAAATATTGATATCATTTTAAGACAATTTTGTACTTTGAAATTTAAAATTCTTTTATAGTAATTTTATATAAATACAGGCTGTTTCAAATTCGCTTCTCACTACAGGGATCTCGAAAATGGTAAGAGATACAAATCAGCTTAAGTGGGGGCAAAGTTGCATAATCAGGGGACCAACATTATGCCTCTAAAAAATCAAGGCTAACATGATTAGTTTTCGAAATATTTGAAAAAAAAAAAAACGAAATTTTGGAAATCTTTTTTGTTTTATTTCAGCCTTGTTTGAGGTGATATTGAAAAAAGAAGAACACTTTCTCATGACCACTTTTTGCCCTCTATCAAATGGCATAATCAATTTTTATATGTAATGTTTTGTCTCTCCAGGACCATCATCAACTTCATTTTTTAAATACGACCCTAGAAATTTTATTATATTTTTTGCAAGGCTTCGTGACCCCCAATACTGTACTGCCTCAGCCTGAACCAGATTCAGACGTTTTGTCTTGAAAATTCATCTTCAGTGTATTCGTTCCAAATTTATCAAACATTTTTTTTTAAATGTCTGTTTATTGAATTATCGTACACTATAGAGATCTTTTAATATCTCATGAGCCGCGAAATGCGCGAAAGGCGTGGCGTATCCCCATAATTCTTCTAATAAGCACGTTGTGAAAACATTGACTCAGAATTAGAACACGTGCCTCATTACAACTAGAAATGAACTAAGGCGCTCGGGCATCAATAAAGTCAACTGGCGAACGTTCGTTATATATATTTTTATTGTTTAAATTAAAATAATAAAGAATAGGGCATTTTATTATGATATTTGTAATCGGATCAAAGGCTTGTTTACGCTAGAGCTCGAGCGAGACTGTGAATAATAGGTGTAATGTTTTTAGGACGTAGAATAATTTAGGCGACGGTCGGAATTATGTTTCTGCGCATATGAAGGTCAAAGCTCATAAGATTTTAAAACATCTCTGTTTGGTTTTGTGGTAAATAAATTGACCTTAAAGTGGACTGTATATTTGTTGACAAATGTTACAATATGACATGTATAGCCTACTTTTTTCTACGTTATTACAAACAACTAAACTTAAGCTAAGGAAACTAAGGAGCGTGCTCCGTCCAATCTCTAAGTGTCGTTAGACCCTGTGAAATCCATCTAGTTATTTAAACTATTACCACCATGCATTAAAATAAAAAATTATTAGTTTTATTCCTGTGTCCATAGGTTTTTTTCAGGATATTCATACAACTACATCTGACATGCTTATTCACAGTTGCGGTTACAGGTATAATAAATTCCGATAATATTACGCTGATATTCATTTTCAACCTTTGCCAAAACGAAAATGTTTTTGAACATTTACTGAAATTTTTAAAAAATAATATTCAGTTGGCGTTTTGGTTGTTCATATGCATTTTTAAGAATTAATTTGTCATAATAAAATTAAAATTGTAATGTTTTAATTATGACGCAACAACTTATTGAGTAATGGTAATAGTTAATAATAATAAATGTGTTATTGTAACGCGTGTTGTATTGACTGATTATTACAAACTGTACACAACGTAATTAAGCCCCAACTTATGCACTAGGAGAATTTATGGCTACCACATGGTAGCCGCTATATTATATGCATTTAAAAATAAATGTATTACGGACTGAAAAATTTATTTCTTTTCCCATCAATATTTTCCTATAACACTCAATTCTGGCAAGCCGTATCCTACAATACCGAAAATGGTAAGACCATAAGAGCTATTTTTGCAGTTGTATTCTGTAGCAATGTGGCCAGTAAAGATCCAGATTTCTTCATCTTTCACCAATTAAAAATAATCATCTCTTGTTTTCCTTTAATGATATTATTTTCCTTTTCTGAAATTTTGGCCAAAACTCACTGAATTTTGTGACAGTTTTCCTATTTTATTCCAACAAATGTTAAAAGTAATAATCATAAAGTAGCAGAAACGGACAAAAACAAACAAATTTACACTGTCAAACATTAACTTAAAAAAAAAACAGGTTTTGATATTAAAAAAAGGATTTACCAGCTTTTTTGTGTGAATTTTTAGTTAGGCAAAAATAGTTTAATAGAAATAATCCTTCAGTGATCCTTTTATTGCAAGGATTTAGTTGATTAATTTTTTCACAATAATACCTTTTTAGAACATGTATGGGACCAATAACTTATATCCCAATTATAACCAGCGTTCAAATAAAAACGTGGTCGAAGTTGGCTCTGACACATTGGACGTAGGGAGTAGCTTATAGCGACCAACTTAACCTCATTTCTCAACGAGCTGTATAGCAGCTGTCAGTTTCAATAACGTTAATGACTATATAACTTTATTTTAAAGAATAATCGTGATAACAATAACAAACAATTAAAGGAGCTGCGGAAAGTGTCCCCCTCCTTGTTATAACAATAAATTAAAGCAGCTGCTGAAAGTGTCCCCCTCCTTGTTCCAAGCACTTTTCACACCTGTTCCTCAAAGAATTAAAGACATTTTCTAAGATGCTCGGGGTATTGTTAATTTCACGAATCTTGTCTATAAGTCGAGCCTGCAGATGGTTTAAATCAGGAATAGGCAGTTCAAAAATAGTGTTTTTAAGGTAAGGCCACAAAAAGAAATCACACGGCGTAATATCACATGACCTCGGTGGAAATTCATGTTCAGCATTGAGACTTATTAGTCGATTTTGGAAAACTTCCCTCAACATATTCATCGTCTCGCCTGCCGTATGTGCCCTTGCGCCATCTTGTTGAAAGTAAAAGTTTGTAATTTCGTTTTCTTCCAGCTGGTTAACAAAAGGAGCGATAATTTCTTCTCTATACCTTTGCGCAGTAAGAGTACCATTAAAAAAAATAGGTCCATAAATCCTCCTTCGATTGAGAGCACACCAAACTCCAATTTTTTGAGCGTGTAGAGGGCCCTCGACAAAAAAGTTATCTGGTTTTTCAGAAGACCACATTCTCATATTCTGTGAGTTTACGTAACCACTTAAATGAAACCAGGCTTCATCAGAAAAAAAGGTGATATTATGAAGTTCACCGTAGTTGTTTAAAAACCATTCACAAAATACAGCCCGTCGCGGAAAATCAACTTCATGAAGTTCTTGCTGACAAGTTAAACGATAGGAGAACAAACGCAAATCTTTTTTTAACACTGTGTGGCAGGTACCGACTGATACTCCCACCATTTGTGATAAAACACGTACAGAAGTTCTTGGCGCATTTTCCATTATTTGTTGGACATTTTCTTTTAATTCTTCAGTCCGCTTTTTAGGTCGGCCGCTTCCTTCTTTTCTTGTTACACTGCCCGTTTCACGAAAAACATTAACACAACGCTGAACTGCACTTTGAAAAATTTTGTACTCAACAACGCCGGGAAATTGATTTTGAAATTCTATGAAACATTCCTCAATAGAATACTTCCATATTCCATCAATCTTGCGTCCATTTCTAAAGTAGGACTCTATGATAAACACTTTTTGTTCTTGAGAAAACACCATTTTAAACGCTTTTTAAAACGAAAATATTCAAATTGATAGCGGCGATATAGCGCTTTGACAGATGACGTTTAAGTTCATTTGCTATACGCTACGCCCTACGTCCAAATTTTCAGAACCAACTTGACCACGTTTTTATTTGAACGCTCGTTATTTGTTGTCATTACTAAAATGTTGTTATTTTATTAAAGTGTTTACAGACCAACACAAATAAATTTGTGTTTGAAACGCAATAGATACGGCAAGGGAAAGCTTAAGATAGCCCTATCCCTAAACGCCGCACCTACGTCTTATTCCTTCTAACCGAATCTATTTCTCAATCTCGGGCAGCTCTGCCTGAGTCATAAACTCAAATTTTCTTTGTCATTCTGAATATTGTGCTATGTTGTCAGACGTTGAAATGAAGGGATTTTTGGAATAGCCAAATATGAATAGCAAACAACAATATCTGTAGCCTTAGTAACAACAAATTAAGTTGACATTACGAAAGTTGACAGTTCTTCAAAATTTGTACCCCATGCCAAGCATGCCATGTAATTGATTTTAAATTAATTTGTTGCTCAGCCAGAACACCTATAGTGACATTTTCACAAAATTCGATACAGTAATGTATGTTCAGTATTTGTGAAACCATGGCAGCAATTCAGTTCCCGTTCTATTTTTGTAGATCTACTTTCAAATTTCATTTCATATTTTACATTTGATATTCATATTGGATCTACAAACTGTTTTATTGTGCAAAAACATGTTTAAAGCAGATAATCTTTATAGATGCGCCCTATTATCCTACATTTTAAGATTATATCATGGTAGATTGTGAGATGATCTTTATCAGAGGTGGCATTGAGAACAAGAATAAAATATATTTGAAAGTTTACACAGTTTAAGGGGTTACGTGTCAGAGGTGTGAAAAAATGACATTTTTATATTTTGAACTGTTTTTTATTTAATACATAATACCTAGTAAGTTCTTACAGTATATTTTAAGTAACTTTCACGAAAATTAAAAATATATTATTTTTGGATCAAGTCATCAGCTCGATTGTAGACCAGTCTCTTACAAAAGTACTTTGTGGAGGTGGACATTAGTATTTAGTGGTTTATCTGAAAGCAATGCAAATAAGAAATATTGTTTAATAATTTTTTTCAAAATTTGCAAAATGATGGCCTATGATCGTCAATTTGTTGTCTACGTATTATTTAACCTTCTCGAGCTGTATATGCTCCATACTGATTTTTCCGCTCCCTATGAATAGTAAAAGGGCCCTACAGCTATTATAGGATATCTTTAAAACTATTTTTAAGATTGTTTTGAAATTTTCACATAATGTTCTTAATATATGTAGGTACTTAAGAAAATGAAATTAAATTTTGATTATCTTGACTTAACGTAGCCTCTTCATAATGCCAATATGTCAGGTCTTTTCATTAGTAGTAGTTATTTTTTATTTTAGGTACCTAATTAAAAACATCCATTTGAGTAATTTTTTCACTGAAGTAAAAGTACAAGAACTAATAAAAAATGTATACAGGGTGTTCATACTGTTCTAAAGCTTGGGTTGAAACTGCAAAAGGACGTTTAGTATTAGTAATAATTAAAATTAAAATCCTTATCGAGTTCTTATCAGTTCTACATGTGTCCTTTATTGTGAATATTATTAGTAACAAACAAATGTTTTAAGTGAAGTCATTTACTTTTCTTTTTTTAGTTTAACTGTTTTCCTTATGTGATAAAATTGTGATTGTGGTGTGTGTATCAACACAATACAGTAATGCATTGATAGACATGGTTGGTAACATACCCAGTGTGTTTCACTTAAAGTCGGTACACCTCCGTATTTAGGATGGCGTTGGCCGATTTCTAAAATTTTCTAAGAAAGAAACGGATAGGGATAGTATTTTCAATTTGATCACACCTCAAAACCCTAAATACAAAGTTTCATTATTACAGCTTTTACAGGGTGTTCATAAAATAGGTGCAAACTTCACCTATTATTGCAGTGTCCTGTATTAACAGTGGAAAATATTTTCAAGGTATTTTTTCATAATTTTATTAACCGAAGGCATATCATGCAGTTTCATTGATTTCACAACAAAATAAAATTTAAATGTTACTGTTTTCTATTCGTCTCATATTTCTAATAACTCTCCTCAAATGATGTGGTGTTATTTAGCAACATGCTTGTCTAAGTCTATTACATAAATCTTCTCTGCTCAGTCTGGGGCCTTGTTTTATACAATTTATTTTTCACAGTTCCCCATAAAAAGAAATCAAGAGGCATCAAGTCTAGAGCTCTTGACGGCCACTCAACTACGGACTGTTGTGACCTATCCACTTTCTCTAGAAATTCTTATTCAACCAATGACGTACTATTACCACATTATGAATAGGTGCTCCATCTAGTTGAAGGTTCTATCTTACATGAAGAGGAAGTGCATGTACTGAATCCCAGAAATCATTATTTTAAAAAACCAAAAAATCTCTGCGTATATACTCTATTTTTAAACTAAGAGGAGCGTTTTGAATATTGCGCGCCAAAATGTTGGTTTCTTATTGGTTAATTTCGAGCCCACTTTACACTGCTAATAAATTTTACATTTTGACATTTGTTGTCATTTTGCCTCTTAGTTATCATCAGTTCGTTGTCATTGTGTATTTACCTGCTTTTCTTTCTATTTATTATCCCAGTTATGTATAAATCAGTTCTTATCAGAACTAAACAACTTATTATATTGTTTATCATCCGTTTTTTCCAATTTTCCATTGGATATGGATAATGCTGTGCCAACCACGAGTAAGGCAGGCGCGGGAATTACATCGCCGTCCCCCCCAAGGAAACGAAAACAACTCAGTTTGGGGCATTTATCTCTGGCAGAAAAACAAGCAATATTGAATTTGTACAAGAAAAACCTAGATGATGAACCTACTCTTAAAACTGTACAACTTGTATCCAAAATAGCGATGACATTAGGTAAATTTATATTAACATTATTCTGTTGAACTATATTACACACTATACTTTTTTAGGTGTTGCAAAATCAACAGTATATCGAGCTATAAAACAGTATAAATCTACTGGAAGGGTGTCTACTTCCAAACACTGTGGTGGGAGACCTGGGATTGTTACATGTTTGGATGAAGCAATGAAGAATTCCATAAGGCGTATAGTACACAGCTTTTTCTTTAAAAATGAGATCCCCACTTTGGACAAAATATTAACCAAAATAAAAAGTCGTCAGCATTTGCCACAGATGTCCCGTTCATCATTATAAAAATTTATGAAACAAATTAATTTCAAGTAATTTAGATGAAACATGGTTAAATGAAGGTCATACAAAAGAAAGAGTATGGGTTGATACTAATATTAAAAGCAAACGTGATGCGTTCAATGAAAGGCTGTCTACGGGATTAAAAAATCCGTCCGGTGAAGGAAAGCGTCTTATTATCTTACACGCTGGCTCAGAGGAAGGATTCGTTGAAGACTCGTTATTGGTTTTCGAAGGCAAAAAGAGTGGGGATTATCACAAGAAAATGAATGCAAATGTATTTGAAAAGTGGTTTTCTGAATTTTTGAAAAAAATACCAGATAATTCTATTATTGTAATGGACAATGCATCGTACCATAGTCGAAAAGTAGAAGCTATTCCGACAACATCAACAAGAAAAATTGATATGAAGGCATGGCTACAATAAAAAAATATCGAATTTGAAGAAGGTATGGTGAGATTGCAATTATTATATTTAATTCGCCAAAATAAAGATAAATATAATTTGTATATAACTGACGAAATAGCAAAAAAAGAAAATAAAGTTGTCTTACGATTACCGCCATATCATTGTGAATTAAACCCTATAGAATTGATTTGGGCACAGGTGAAGAATGAAGTGGCAAGCAAAAATAAAACATATAAATTGAAGGACGTAAGGCAACTACTAATAGAGGCTCTTAATAATGTTACAAATATGAACTGGAAAAAATGTGTAGAACATGTGATTAAGGAGGAAGAAAAAATGGGAACACTTGAAATTATGGACGATCTCATTGAACCTTTAATCATATCAATTAATAATAGCGAGAGCGATATGGATACTGACTCATCGAATAATTCAGAAAATTGTTAGACATGATTTGTCCCCCATTTTTACCAATATTATAAATTATAAAAACTTATTTTGTTACTTTGAACACCTGCAGATGATATATTACGAACGTAGTTCAGTTATCAGTTATTTGGCAATTATCCGGTAACTTAAACGTAGTTCGTAGAAATGCAACAATTCAAAGTAACAAAAACACCATTATATAATTACTCCAATGCTAAATGTAAAAATGTGAATCAATAAAATTGTTTTTAAAAAGTGAAAACTGGAATCAATCATTTATATATGTTTGGTTCGTAGTATATTATTTCATTCATATTCAGTTTTTCAATGTTATGTAGGAAGTACCTACCTACTTTTAAAAAATATATACAAAAGTTAAATAAACCTAGAATTAGATTAGATTAGATTCATTGCACATTATTTTGAATTGGTACTTAATAACCTCATTTAAAAGTAATGAAAGCTTGTACCTAAAATGAGGTTAAACACTTGCAGTGAGTATATACTTGATAGTCTGATGCTATCTGGGGTAGTTTTTAGTAACTTTTGCAGTGTAAATTTGTCTGGCATCCACTCCTTTTAGTTTAAAAATAGACTATAGCAAAGTAGATTAACGTTAAAAAAGAAGGGCCCGATTATTCGATCACAAAACACATATTTTTTTAATTAAGATTTATGTAATAGAATTAGACAAACATGTCAACAAATAACACCACATCAGTTGAGGAGACTTATTAAAAATAAGTGGAGACGAATTAAACAGTGCATACCAAATGATGGTGGGCTAATAGAAAACAGTAATAATTATCTAAATTTTATTTCGTTGTGAAGCTCGTTTCTGGTATAATAAAAGAAATATATAATTTGGTGTGTCTTATTGTGAGCACCCTGTATGAGTGAAATCAATGAAACTGCATGGATATACCTTTGGTTAATAAAATTATGGAAAATATATTGAGAATATTTTCCACTGTTAATACAGGAAACTCTGCAATTAATGAAATTTTTTGAAGTTTGCACATATTTTGTGAACACCCTGTGTATGGGTTCTTTGTGTGTGTGTGTGATTTAAACTCGTGTAACTTCCAAAAAAAAAAACAAACTTTATTCTTCGATCTAGCGTACATCTACTCTCCACTGCTGCTTTACGAATACTAATAGCTGTCTCGCTCTCTCCCTACCGCGTGCATACCACCAGTGGTGGGGATCACCTCTGTGCGTTCAGGTCGAGCGATACAGTGTGTTGCATACATTTACATTATTAAATTAAAAAATATACATACAACATCAAACATGCCGCGCCCTTTGAAAGGCTGGGCTTTCAACATAAATGAAATAAAGGTAAATTCAACTAAATATACATACATTTAGGCAACATAACGAATATGTCAAATAACAGTTTTCATTAATAAGACATGAATCAAGCAGATTCGATGGGCAAAACACAAATACTTCTCACGGCACGTTTCACTACACCACTTGCGACCTTTATAGTGACGACGCGCACTACACTATCAGTTCCAGGATGTGTTTGGAGTATCCTACCCAACTTCCAATATAGCGGGGGAAGATTATCGTCTCGAAGTATTACCATCGCACCAACTTTGATGACATTAGATGACCTGGATTTCCATTTAGAGCTGTAGTGTGGAAATGTATTCACGTGACCAGCATTTCCAAAAATGCTCCGCCATTTGCTGTAATATTTTGTAGTGATCTAGTTTATTTGTTGCTATTTGCTCTACATCCTGTTCCGGCATGGCGGTCATGCGATCACCGATAATAAAATGTCCGGGGGTGAGGGCTAAAAGATCTTCAGGATCAGAGGACAATGGGGTTAACGGTCGGGAATTCAATACAGCTTCAATCTGCGTCAAAATCGTGTACAAATGCTCAAACGTTAAATGGGCATTACCTAAAATTCGTTTCATATGATATTTTGCCGACCTTACTGCAGCCTCCCATAACCCCCCGAAATGCGGGCTTCGAGGTGGTATAAAATGCCACTTTATTTTGTTTTGAGAAAACCAATTAACAAAGTTATTATTGATATTTGGATTGGATATGGTGTCTAAAATTTTAGTAATTTCATTAGCCGATCCCACAAAATTCATAGCATTATCGCTGTAAACATTGCGGCATATGCCTCTTCTCGCTATGAATCGTTTAAAGGCATTTAAAAACGATTGAGTGCTCAAATCACCTACGAGTTCCAGGTGGCTAGCTTTTGTTGAAAAGCAAATAAATATGCACATGTAACATTTGACTAACCTTCTCCTACGAGTTTTGCCATCCTTTACCTGGAAAGGGCCAGCGAAATCGATACCAGTAGTATAAAAGGGTCGCGATGGGGTAATTCTCAATTTGGGCAAATCACCCATTTGAGGCTCGACTGGCGTTGGTGCAACACGGAAACAAGTGATACACTTGTGTATTACTTTTCTTACTGCATTTCTGCCATTAATAGGCCAAAATTTACATCTTAAACTAGCCAGTACAGCTTGAACACCTGAATGAAGCAGTCTTTCATGTTCTCGTCTAATAATCATGTCTGTCAATGAGTGTTTATAAGGAAGTAAGTGTTTCTGGTTATAAGGCAATTCTGACTTAACAAGTCTGCCTCCAACAAGTAGAATCCCATTGTCGTCGATAAACGGGTTCAAAGATAATATTGAGGAAGTGTTAGGTACCGTTTTTTTACCCCTTAAATTTCTAATTTCTAAACCGAATGAATGAGACTGCGCAACCTTTACAAGAGTTAATAATGATACATCGAGTTCATTTGTAGTCAAGTATCCGTACACCTTTGACGAGTTTGATTTGCAATTGTTGTAAAACCTTAAACAATATGCTACTACTCTTTGCATTTTTAATAAGGAAGAAAATCTGTCAAATATATGTTGATCTAAAATCGTAACTAATGATATGTTTTCGTTTTTACGTTTATCCGGAATTTTACTAGCATTAGCTGAACAAAGTGTTGGCCAATGAGTATTAGCCTTGGATAACCACTCGGGTCCTGACCACCAGATGTCTAAATTTTTGAGTTGTGTAGGAGTAGCGCCACGTGAAATAACATCAGCAGGGTTTTCCGCTGAATTAACAAACCGCCAATTATTTATGTCAGTTAACGTTTGAATTGTAGAGACCCTATTGGCTACAAATGTTTTCCAAGTTGCAGGTTCCGCTTGCAACCATGCTAACACTATAGAGGAATCACACCAATAAAAGGTTTGAACAGGTATGGTTAATGAGCTAAGTACTCCTTTGGTTAATTGTGCGAGCAAAAGTGCTCCACATAATTCCAACCGTGGTATTGATAAAATTTTAAGTGGTGCCACGCGTGATTTGGCGCAAACTAATGAGGTATGAATTTGTCCGCCCTTACTGATACTTCTGAGATATATACATGCCCCATAGGCTGCTTCACTAGCGTCGGAAAAACCGTGTAGTTCAATTTGAATATAATCAGGACAAATTACGTGTCTCGGAATCTGAATGTCATTGATGCTAAGTAAGTCTCTATAAAATTCTAACCAAATATTAGTTAATTCGTCAGGAACCGGATCGTCCCAGTCCGACCTTAATACCCATAATTTTTGTATAATGATTTTTCCCAAAATGACACATGGACCCACCAGGCCAAGCGGGTCGAATATTTTGGATATCACGGACAGTATGTTTCGCTTAGTTACGGGTTGACCCGTATCTTCTAAATTTATAGAATATTTAAGGCGATCGGATTTAGCATTCCATGCTAAGCCAAGGGCTCTTACGTTTTCGTTTTCTGAAAGTTGATAGTCTGATTGCTTGTTCGAATGAGATTCATCAATAATGCGCGTATCGTTTGACATAAACTTGCGTAATTGAAAACCGCCACTATCTAAAATATTGGTTATTCGTTCTTTGAGTTGAATGGTACTTTCTAATGTGTCTGATCCAGTAATAAGATCATCCATGTAGAATCTCTCAAGATAACTTGGCACTCTTTTGGATAATTCGATATATTTTGATAGGCTAATTCATGCAGTGATCTTACGGCTAAAAAAGATGCTGAAGCTGTTCCGTAAGTAACCGTATTTAGCCGAAAATGATTTAGTTCACCGTCTGGGTTGAATCTATATACTATACGTTGAAAATCTCGTTCCGACTCAGTTATATTTATTTGCCGATACATTTTGCAAATGTCGCCAATGATTACAAAATTATGCGTACGAAACCTGAGAATGATTGAAAACAGGTCATCTTGTATTAGAGGCCCAATTTTGAGAAAGTCGTTGAGTGAATATCCCGTGGAAGTCTTTGCCGAAGCGTCAAAAACCACACGTAATTTAGTGGTTGTACTAGACTCTTTGAACACTCCGTGATGTGATTTCATTATGAATGTCTAACGGATTTTGAATTTTTGTCATGTGTCCTAGAGACTCGTATTCGGACATGAAATTATCATAAAGATCCCTTAGTTCAGAATTTTTCATAAGTCTGTTTTCAAGAGCGTAAAACCTTTTGATAGCGTTCTCCATTGAGTCGCCTAATTTCGAATAATCGTCGCGTAAGGGTAAACTAACCGTAAATCGACCGGTATCATCTCTCGTGTAAGTTTTTACAAAGTGTTCCTCGCATTCGCGTTGTTCACGTGTATATATTTTTTCTTGAGGACCTTCCTCAATTTGCCAAAACGTCTGTAGCTGTTCGCTCAGTTCACGATTTGATATTGAAAGATTACAAAGTATTTTTATTTCATGACAAGACTGCGTAGTGTTGCCGGAAATTAGCCAACCTAATTTGGATTTTTGAAAAATTAGTGAATTTTCGTTAGTTCTTATCCTGTCCTTTGCTAGCAATTCCCAAAAGATTCCAGCGCCGAGTAAAATGTCAATTGGTTTCGATTTATTAAACTCCGGGTCCGCTAAGTATAAGTTTGTGGGAATTTTCAATTCAGAAGCGTCAAAGGAGACAACCGGTACATTGTCAGTTATTTTATCCAACACTAAAAAGCTAAGCGATGTTGTGTAATTATTGAATGCAGATTTAATTGTTGCCATAGTTCTTTTTGAAACCGAAATTTGAGTTTGATGTAAATTGAAATTGGCACATGAATATTTGAACCTAAAATGCTTAACCTTTTGAATAATGACTGTGTCATAAAATTTGACTGAGAACCGCAATCCAACAAAGCACGACATTTCACCGGGTTGCCACAACATCTATCACATATATATTTGCCGTACAAAGAATAGTGTGTTCAAGTTGTATACAGTGTGTAACAATTTGAGTGTCCGAAGCTGCCTTTGTGTTATTAGGGGCATGTGTACTTGTTTTTGAATGTATATCCACAGCAGATTGATTATTTGAGTTATGATTGGCCGTATCTGACTGCGTTTGAGCGTTTGTATTCGATTGATTTTGCCTATGTGTTGCACCTTGCGTATCAGTGTTGTTGTAATACGAATCGTTGTGTAAAAGCGTGTGGTGTTTTTTGTTACATTTTTTACAACTGCTAGAATGCATTCTGCACTAAAATGATTTGGACGTAAGCAATTTGTACACAATCGTTTTTTTCTAGCTTCCCTTTGTCTATCCAAAACAGGTAATTTAGCGAACTGCTCACAGCTGTAATTAAAGTGCGAACCTTTACAAAAAACGCATGAAACCCCTTGAGTTGAAATATGTACTAAATTCGTACTAGCTTTAGGTGTGAATTTTTGATTTAGTTTAATTGAGCTTGTGTGTAAGGTTTCTAGGAGTTGACATCTGTTTGACAAAAATGTCTCTAAATCGAGTAACTTGGACATTTGCTTTGAGTTAGTGGATTCTTCCCACTCGCGTTTTGTTGTAGCGTCGAATTTGTTAGAGATAATGTGAATAAGTAGAGTGTCCCAAGTATCAATAGGTTGTCCAAGTGCTTTAAGTGAACGCAAATGCTTTAGAAAATTGTCTAATAAATTTCTCAATTGAATGTGCGACTCATATTTGATAACCGGTAAATCAAAAATAGCCTTTACGTGTGTATTAATTGTAACTCTTTTGTTTTCATACCGATCCGCTAATAAAGTCCAAGCTACGTCGTAATTACCGTCCGAAATTTCTACAGATTGTATAACCTGAGCCGCTTCGCCCTTTAAACAGGATTGAAGATAGTAAAACTTCTGCACTTTAGATAAAGTTGAATTCGAATGTATTAATCTGACAAACGCATCGTGAAATTGTAGCCAATGTTCGTAACCACCTGAAAACTCGGGTAATTTTAAAGTAGGCAATTTTACTTGTGAGATAACATTCGAGTCATTACTACTTACATTTCAGGCAGACGCATCATTGTTTACTACTACATCTTTTACCATTAATTTTTTCGCTTTTGTGGATAGATAAAAAAATGTTTGTTCAAAATCTTCGCGTTCATTTATTTGATCGTCACTGTTATCTAAAAACTCGATATCCGATTGTACAGTATCAAAAACATTCCATAAAGAGTCGATTTTTTGTAACCTATTTTCTAGTTCAATGATTTTTCCGAGCTACTTGTATCAAGATTTTCAATAAACGTGTTGAACCTAGTTAATTAACCTTTCAGTTGGCCACGGCGTGCAATAAGCTTTTTTAACTCAGACATGTTTGTTAAAAAATAATAAATGCTTAAATTAAGTTGTTTTTATTATAACCGCAATAATCTTAAACAGGTTGAAGCACTGTATGTTTATGTAAAAAAACGTAGGANCGTAAAACCTTTTGATAGCGTTCTCCATTGAGTCGCCTAATTTCGAATAATCGTCGCGTAAGGGTAAACTAACCGTAAATCGACCGGTATCATCTCTCGTGTAAGTTTTTACAAAGTGTTCCTCGCATTCGCGTTGTTCACGTGTATATATTTTTTCTTGAGGACATTCCTCAATTTGCCAAAACGTCCTGTAGCTGTTCGCTCAGTGCACGATTTGATATTGAAAGATTACAAAGTATTTTTATTTCATGACAAGTCTGCGTAGTGTTACCGGAAATTAGCCAACCTAATTTCGATTTTTGAAAAATGAGTGAATTTTCGTTAGTTCTTATCCTGTCCTTTGCTAGCAACTCCCAAAAGATTCCAGCGCCGAGTAAAATGTCAATTGGTTTCGATTTATTAAACTCCGGGTCCGCTAAGTATAAGTTTGTGGGAATTTTCAATTCAGAAGCGTCAAAGGAGACAACCGGTACATTGTCAGTTATTTTATCCAACACTAAAAAGCTTAGCGATGTTGTGTAATTATTGAATGCAGATTTAATTGTTGCCATAGTTCTTTTTGAAACCGAAATTTGAGTTTGATGTATCCCTGAAATTGGCACATGAATATTTGAACCTAAAATTCTTAACCTTTTGAATAATGACTGTGTCATAAAATTTGACTGAGAACCGCAATCCAACAAAGCACGACATTTCACCGGGTTGCCATCAACATCTATCACGTATATATTTGCCGTACAAAGAATAGTGTGTTCAAGTTGTGGTTGTATACAGTGTGTAACAATTTGAGTGTCCGAAGCTGCCTTTGTGTGATTAGGGTCATGTGTACTTGTGTTTGAATGTATATCCACAGCAGATTGATTATTTGAGTTATGATTGGCCGTATCTGACTGCGTTTGAGGGTTTGTATTCGATTGATTTTGCCTATGTGTTGCACCTTGCGTATGTGTTGTAATACGAATCGTTGTGTAAAAGCGTGTGGTGTTTTTTGTTACATTTTTTACAACTGCTAGAATTGCATTCTGCACTAAAATGATTTGGACGTAAGCAATTTGTACACAATCGTTTTTTTCTAGCTTCCCTTTGTCTATCCAAAACAGGTAATTTAGCGAACTGCTCACAGCTGTAATTAAAGTGCGAGCCTTTACAAAAAACGCATGAAACCCCTTGAGTCGAAATATGTACTAAATTCGTACTAGCTTTAGGTGTGAATTTTTGATTTTGTTTAATTGAGCTTGTGTGTAAGGTTTCTAGGAGTTGACATCTGTTTGACAAAAATGTCTCTAAATCGAGTAACTTGGGCATTTGCTTTGAGTTAGTGGATTCTTCCCACTCGCGTTTTGTTGTAGCGTCGAATTTGTTAGAGATAATGTGAATAAGTAGAGTGTCCCAAGTATCAATAGGTTGTCCAAGTGCTTTAAGTGAACGCAAATGCTTTAGAAAATTGTCTAATAAATTTCTCAATTGAATGTGTGACTCATATTTGATAACCGGTAAATCGAAAATAGCCTTTACGTGTGTATTAATTGTAACTCTTTTGTTTTCATACCGATCCGCTAATAAAGTCCAAGCTACGTCGTAATTACCGTCCGAAATTTCTACAGATTGTATAACCTGAGCCGCTTCGCCCTTTAAACAGGATTGAAGATAGTAAAACTTCTGCACTTTAGATAAAGTTGAATTCGAATGTATTAATCTGACAAACGCATCGTGAAATTGTAGCCAATGTTCGTAACCACCTGAAAACTCGGGTAATTTTAAAGTAGGCAATTTTACTTGTGAGATAACATTCGAGTCATTACTACTTACATTTGAGGCAGACGCATTATTGTTTGCTACTACATCTTTTGCCATTAATTTTTTCGCTTTTGTGGATAGATTAAAAAATGTTTGTTCAAAATTTTCGCGTTCATTTATTTGATCGTCACTGTTATCTAAAAACTCGATATCCGATTGTACAGTATCAAAAACATTCCATAAAGAGTCGATTTTTTGTAACCTATTTTCTAGTTCAATGATTTTTTCCGAGCTACTTGTATCAAATTTTCAATAAACGTGTTAAACCTAGTTAATTGACCTTTCAGTTGGCCACGGCGTGCAATAAGCTTTTTTAACTCAGACATGTTTGTTAAAAAATAATAAATGCTTAAAATTAAGTTGTTGGTATTATAATCGCAATAACCTTAAACAGATTGAAGCAGTGTGTTTGTGTAAAAAAACGTAGGAAATAAAAAGGGATTGTGTGACTCACGACCTTGCCGCCTGTAACTGATAACCGGTGCCGGTGCCCTGGGTCCCGGTGCACGTGTAAGCAAGCGCCGCTTCTCTTCTGTCTAGGAGTCTGCGAAAACCTCGCTTCGTCGTTTTTTGTTTTCAAAAGTTGAAGTTAAGACGATCAGGTTCTCGTTGCCTGAGTACGATTTTCCTTTTCCTTGTATAGAATTATTAAACTGTGTGTAATTGCGAAGGGACTGTAAATTTCACAACCAATTATTATTGTTTTGTTAATGTTCTTGTTTAACCATCGGCTGGAATGGACCAAATTTATGTATGGGTTCTTTGTGTGTGTGTGATTTAAACTCGTGTAACTTCCAAAAAAAAATAAACTTTATTCTTCGATCTAGCGTACATCTACTCTCTACTGCTGCTTTACGAATACTAATAGCTATCTCGCTCTCCCTACCGCGTGCATATCACCAGTGGTGGGGATCACCTCTGGGCATTCAGGTCGAGCGATACAGTGTGTTGCATACATTTACATTATTAAATTAAAAAATATACATACAACATCAAACACCCTGTAAAAGCTATAATAATGAAACTTTGTATTTAGAGTTTTGAGGTGTGATCAAATTAAAAATGCTGTCCATTTCTTTCTTAAAAAAATGCCAAATGTTTTATTTATTTTTGGGGGTCTTATTTTACTGATAGTAGGCTGTAGGTCATATGTTAAAAAATATTATATCAAAGAGTAGGTCTTTTTGAGTACTATCACATAAAAAAAAGAATTTTGGAAATTGGCCAACACCAACCTATATACGGCGGTGTTCCGACTTAAGTGTAGACCCTAAAGAAACTCTGATGAGAACTACAAATTAACTGCATACTCTTATGTAGATCAATTTCCAAATAGGCATGCACTAACACTTGTAAACAGAGGCAGAGCTATTGGTGGAGTCAGCAGTTCCAAAAAAGTTTTATCATATCAAATATAGGAAGTCAGTAGGTATTACTAATCAGTGTTGCGAGAAACAACTATACCGCGGACTATATGCCCCCCCTCCTCGCTAGGATCGCTCGTCAGGCTAACCCACCAGGCACAGACCA